AATACACCTCTAAAAAGTTACATACTGTACATTTAAACAGCAGTCTTGATCTAAAATAATAATAACAGGAAAAGGACTGAAACTAGAAAAGCATGGAACAGTGGGTGGGGATAGGGGGTAGGTGAAAACAGATTCTTATGCTTCAAATGTAGAACATTATTACAAACTCTGATTAAGATTTCCAATGTTTCGATGATGTAATTCCGCAGACCTGGTCCTGTTCTAGTTCAGGTTTAGTCCTACTTATCCAGTCCAGGTTTAGTCCCAGTTTTGATGTATTAGTAATAGTAGTAGAGACATTATTAAAAAAAGAAAAAGTGCAAATGGGTTCCCAGAAGATGTATATTATGTTTGTATGTTATTATTATAAAGCACTTTAAAAACTTTATTATTATTATGTCATGTAAGTTTGTAGTTTTATTCTTGTTTTCTTATGTTTTCCTGTGTTCTCATGTTGACTTGATTTTCCTAAATTGCTGACAGATTTTCACAAATGATTCCAAGGAAACTCAAGTCAGAACAGGCCCAGATTTCTAGATAATTATCACTCATTATTCTGCATAATTTGATGTAAATTTTTCTTTCCCAACGTTTTTCATCGTGGGCGTTTCACAGTTTAATGTCAGCCAAACTATAAATTTAAAAGAATTAGCTGAAGTTGAAATTTGAGATGAATAAGTGTGGTGAAAGGGAATGGACTTTAAAAACACAGAGGAGCACTTCGGGATGACCAGCAGATAACATGTTTCTACTGTCCACATTTTATAGCCGAAAATATAAAATGAGTGGGAGACAAAATATGAGTTTTTGGTACATTATTTTACATTTTGTTAAACGTAAATTTGCTCTGAAACAATATAATAGTATAATATTTGAAAAATGTGTTCTAAAATGACAACACAACTAGCCTTAAATCTCCTGCACAGGCTGATATTTTCGATATTTTCCACACAAAGCTGTATTTAAAGGCCCAGTACACTATTTTCTGATCTGTTCTAATGTAGTTTCCTCATCACAAACACACCTGGAGTTGTGTTTTGTTTCATTTACATGTTTAACACACAAACTCTGCCTTTGGTTCTTCTCTCAAACAGAAAACACTGTTCCATTTTGTGATGTCATGTGGTGGTACAGGAAGTGCTCCATTGTGTTTTTAAACTCTACACACCTTCACTAGAATCATGTGGATGATTTAAGATTCAGAACTGAAGAAGCAACTTGGATGAGCTACGGAATGTATTCGACCAAAATAAACTTTTGTCCAGTTGACAAATTTAATTTCTGCTTTTGCTCCTTTTATTCTTTTTGCTTTGTTGAAACCAGAAGATATTGTCGACTTTCTGTGGCAATCAACTGCATAAAAGATAAATCAAATAAAAAAAAAACAAACAAACAAACAAACCAAAAAAAAAAACAACGTTTCTTATCTACAGTGGTTGGTCTCTCACCCTCATTCAGCTCAGGTCGTCTACCAGAGGCCCGGGAGTCTGAGAGATCTGTGCAGTATCTTTGCTGTTCCTGTACTGCACTTTTCTGGACTGAGATGTCTGTTGTTTTTCCCGGTATCTGCGTAGCCTTTTCCAGTTTGGGGGTTATGGTCCTTGATGCCTTCACTTTCCAGGCTTTCTCCAGAACCTCCTTGAGCCCCTGGTATTTCTCTTTTCCCCTGTTCCTTTTTCCTGATATTACCATCTCTTGGTATTGTGATGTCCACCACCACGACTCTGCTCTGTTGTTTATCCACCACCACTATGTCTGGTTGGTTCATCACCATCCTGTCAGTCTGTATCTGGAAGTCCCACAGGATCTTGGCTCGGTTGTTCTCCACCACCTTTGTAGGTGTTTCCCACCTTGATCCTGGGGTCTCCAGCCTGTACTCTGCACACATGTTTCTGTACATTATGCCCACCACTTGGTTATGTCACTCCATGTTTGTTTCCCTGCAGCATCTTCCACCTGCAGTTCTGTGCTGGACTGTCTCAGGAGCCTCTTTACACAGTCTACACCGTGGCTCTTGTCTATGTGGTAGATCTGGGCCTCTGTTGCTCGAGTGCCCAGGGCCTGGGATGAGCCTCTGTGTGTCCTTCAGACCAGCCCTCTCAAGACAAACCAGGTTCCTCCTGTGTCGGCTGTTTGTGGATCTGTCTGGATTTGTGGGGTTCATGAAAAGAATGTCTCAAAAATACATCAGAGAGAAAATCTGTGAATTTGTGTAATTGCTGATCCACAAATGCGAATCACATTTTACAATACAAACAGAATTTTCAGTTTTACAAATGTGTGTGTGTGTGTATACATATATATATTTTTTTGGTTTTTCAAATACAAAAATATTAATTTAATTAAAATACGAGTTATGAATATTAAATTAGCATTTGTGGTGATCAAAACACACAAACTAATGAGTATTTGTAGATCAGTCTCTGTGCATTTATGAATATTAATGAGACAAAAGTAACACCAAAGACAAAAAAGGAGCCAGACACTTTTTCAGCGCTTACTGTTTATGCAAATGAGTCATGTGGTTTTAAATTTTGTTTCTGTAAAACAGAAACAAATATGTGCAAATGTGCACTCCTGGATTTATGAAAGTGTTCTGTAAAGACGTGATGACTCAAACCAAAACACAGATGTCAACACATCAAACATCCAACATCAAATGGCAGACATTATGACTGAGGCTCCTTGAATTCCTGAACACCTTGTACGATCAGCTGACCGGACAGCTCTTTGATGACGTACATGTCCACATGTTCATTTGCTCCGACCTGGACCTGTAAAAGAGATGAGTCAAAATCAAATAGAGCTAATCCTCCATATTGATTATATTCACGGTTTAATCTAGAATTTGATTATGTCATAATTTCAGACATAGAACTCTGTGGAAGATTCACTGTTTTTGAAAGAAATCTCTAAACTTCTGATCCAGAAATGTTGAACCTTTTTATTATTTGTCTGGATCAGCTCCACAAACTTGTCATATTGTTCTTATGGTTTAAAGTCCTTTGAGCTGTTTTGGTGTTGAATAATGGAACTCTGTAATGACAGAGTCATGACCCACAAACCAGGTCAACAAATCTGCAATCTGACAGTTCCACAGTAAACTCCACCTGACAATTCTTCTGATCTGTCCCCAGTTCAGTTTAAAGGTCCTATATCACACAAAACTAACTGTTGTGAGCTTTAAACTATGTCATCATCTTGTTACCTCATCAAAAACAGACCTGGAGTTCTGTTTTGTTTCAATTGCCACTTTCACATGAGAACTTTAATTCTGAATAATAATTAATTCTGCTTTGAAAAGACCATGTAAACACTTAACTCCTCATGAAAATGATGAATCAAAATTAAACTTAATTCTGAAGTAAGTGAGTGGTTTATTCAGATTTTAAAGCCAAATTCATTTTCTTCCTGACTTCTGACGCAATCTGGACGATCCGGCTCCACCAGTCCTGGTTTTGGACTTTCATCCACGTCTCTTTGGGTTTGTGAGCGGGATGTGGGAGTGGACTGAAGACTCAGTTTGTCTTCTTCCTCTCTTCTCCAACACTCTTCCCTGATGATGACGAGTATGTACGTGAACTCAGGGTCAAGACAGTTAAGATGCAGTCCAGCCCAACACACAACATGTTGGCTGTGCCTTAATTACTACACTCAGTTAATCAGCTAACTTGGAGATGTTTAATTCTATTCAGTTATGATATACTCGTAATGAGACATGATTTTGTGCTTTTAATTTGAGCTTTATTATCTTTATTATCTCATTGTGGGTGCTGACACCCAGCTCGGCTCTCTGTAACCTTCTTTGAATAAGTGTGAAGTATTGTTATGTCCTGTCAGTCACAGAACACACCGGTCTTAAAGTCATGTGACCATGTATCTTTGCATGTTGTTCCTTTAATCAATCCTTGGTCTTAAACCAGCCTCGTGCGTCAGGTTCAGCACTGGTTTTGACTTGTTTATTGTGTATGGTGACCTCCTCGTCTGTATTTATCTTAAATTATCTTTATGTTTGATGATTGTTCAGGACTTTGTAGGATATAAAGTCCTGTGTGTGTGTGATGCTTCAGGACAGTGAGAGTCATTTTTCCTTTTTTCTGTGATTGTGCTGCACAGTTGCTTCATTAAACCCAGACTCCTTGATTCAAGACAACTTCTCCAGTTTTTATTAATTGCATCGAGGAAATTCCACAACACAAAGTGTGTTTTTTGTGCAGTTATCATTGGAACCACTGCGGAAAAGCATTTGTATTATGTTTGTGTCCGTGGAGTAAAGACAAACCGAGACGAGAGAAAAGCCAATAGCAGCTGAAGTGTGTGTTTTCTTCCGGTCGACGTAAATACGTTTGTGTCTCAGTCCAATCAGAATCTTCCCCATCCCCAGACGCTGAGCCGAATTAAATAAAGACGATTTAATGAGTTATTTCCATGTAAACTTGAAGGACTCATTTGGTCTTCTGATATTTTATGTTATTAGGTTCTTTTTCCAGACCAAGAGTTTGTTTTGTTTGTTTGTTTGTAAAACCGTACAGAAAACTCTGAGAATTATTTGTCCACTCGAAAGACAAAATAGAACCGGAGCATAAATGTAATGTCATGTACGAAATACCCTGCATGTCCTGCAATAAAACACACATTGGGGAAACAGGGAGGGAGTTCAGTCCACGAAAAAAAAGGAACATAGAACAGAATGCGAGAAGGAAACAGCGAAGGCGAAACACGAGCAACAAAACACAAAGCAGAACAGGAACAACTCAAATCATCCATTTCTGACGCTGTAAAAGAGAGAAGCACATTATCACTGGGACAGAGGAAAACAATGTTGTATTCCCAACGATTTAATTCAGAACATTTAAAAACATCATGTAAACGTGGCCATTCACACATGTTTGAGTAATTCTACAATGCTCTATTCCAACTTGTGACATCACAAAGTGGTAGTTTTCAAGTGAACAGCTTTATTTACAGTAGATATGTTTCAGTAGATCCTGGAAATGCCAGGGCTTAAATCATCCAAATGATTCTAATGAAGGTGAATGAAGTTTAAAAACACAGAGGAGCACTTCCTGTATTACCACATGACATCACAAGGTGGAACAGAGTGTTTTCTGTTGGAGAGAAGAACTCAATAAGCAATAAGTTAAATCAACTGACTTACAGTGATGAAGTAACTGGTTCCATGATCTAAATCTTGGGTTTTGAAGGATTTCGCTTCAAAAGTGTCGTATTTCTGTCCTGTTTTCTGCTCCACTTGACCTTTGACCTGAACAAAAAAACAAAAGCACATTTTCAACAGGACTTTCACGTTGTTGGCATTTCATCCGTGAGGGTTTGTTTTACAATCAGCAAATGTAATTCCAGCTAATATTAAAGTAGAGTGTCCAGACGTCCCTGTTTCCCCGGGACAGTCCCAGTTTTGAGTCTGTGTCTCCTGTTCCAGCAGATTTATTTAAAAAACAAACACTGATTTGTCCAGTTTTATACAAGAAATGTCCCAAGTGTCCCTGTTTTTGACCAATTTGATCTGCCAAAAATAAAGAGATACATCAACAGATTAAACTGACATACTGAGCCAAAGTGAGTCCAGAATGGATGATGGAACTCACTTTTTTCACAATTTTATTTATACCAACCATCCAAACCCTGATGTGTCCCAGTTCTGAATGTCTGAATGTTAAATCTGGTCACCCTAATTACCTGTTTACCTAGAATCAGCTCAGGATTTCAGGATAAACCTGGACTTGTTCAGTCAGTTTGATGGAATTACCCCCAGGTCTGTTTCTGAGGAAGTAACAACATTAGAACAGCTGAAAACTCACAAGAGTCTATTTTGTGTAATATAAAACCTTTAAACAGAGCTGGAGGACAGGTTAGAAATCTCTGGTGGAGTTTGATTTTAACATCATAACACAGATCAGAAAATAGTGTAAGACAGGCACTTTAGAAGTGGGTTGTCGTGGTTGCAACAGAGAGCCTGATCTTGTCCCGATCTTAGCACTAGCACAAGTATTAAGGAGGGGGCGTGTCCAGGTGGGGCTGTGCTTCTCTGCTGGAGGCTGGAGTGGGACGGTACAAGTTCATAATGGTGACGGCATCTGAACCAATCTGTGACCGCTGTGGCATTTAAAAGCTCTGCCCACGTGGGTAAAGTCTGTAATCTTTGTCTCATTATGTTTCATTTTGTCTCAAGTGGAGTGTGGTGAAAAATTCTATATGTAACAATAAAACAGCTCCAGAGCCTCATGATGCAAGTGCACACCAGAGGCACCAGGAATACAGAATTTTGTATGGGCCATGACAGAACTGACTGGGTTTATGTTCCGACAGTGCACGTGCGCCCCACGTGCACCACACACACACACACACACACACACACACACACACACACACACACACACACACACACACACACACACACACACACACACACATCAACCTTTTATAGTTTTCTCTGTTTGTTTTCCTCCTGTTACGCAGCAGACCAGTGTCTCTCATGTGCCCCCGTCCCACAGACCCGCTGCTTTCTCACTCCTGCTCCCGTCTGTCCCACACTCCACTCCCACAGACTCACCTGAGGTACAAGTGTCCACCTCTGCTGCCACTGACCGCTCACATTCTCGTCTTTAAGGTGTCCACTGCGTTTGGTCCCACACAAGTGGAAGTCTCGTGGATTATGGAAGACGGTTTATTGTCATATAAATGTTTCTGATGTGTGTGCTTTGCACACACATATGATCCATGTGTCTGCTTCACTGTCACAGCCCTGAACTGTCAGTGAATGCACTGATCCCTGTCACAGTCCGGCCATGAGAATGTGAATAAATGGACATGGCAGCATAAGAACACAGAGTAAGAAAACAGACTTTAGGACATCGCTGTAAACGGCCTCATGTGAATGAGCAGCTTTTGTACAGATCCACATCAAACCAAACTGTAGAGCAGAGCTGAGCCGATACAGGGGAGCAGGCGAGGGGCTGTGCTCTGCTGTGGGAGGACATCCGGACGACTCCCACACAGCACACAAACATGTTAGGAATGTTAAGCATTTATCATCCTAATATATTTCCAAACAAAAGAAGTCTTGAGCATGTTACATGTTGTTTTTCAGTCGACTCGTTTGGTATTTATTTTTACAATTCTGGGAATTCACTGAAGGTGTCACACCAGTCCTCAGTCTGCTCCACTCACCTGATGTTCAGACACAGAACACCGACTGTTTAGAACTCCACACCCCACACTTGCACCAGTGCTAAGACTGGGCACAAAATCTGCTGAGATTTTAGGGAGTCTCAATTTTCAACAAATTTCAAACAAAACAAAATCTTTTAGATACTTACAGAGTAGCACATGGTTTTAACCTCTTCGTCTGCAAATTGAAGTGGTGTTATCTCGTGGGGGGTTGTTACAGATGCTCCCATTTCTGCAGTGACTGAAACTAACTCAACACTATCTGTAAAGTGAAGTGAACTGTACCAACACTATCTGTGAGCTGACTGTGACTGAGCATGAACAAAACATTTCACTTATGTGTGTTTGGTGGAGTGTACCATTATTGTTTTTAAGGACTGCAAAAATGTACAAGGCCACAAAATGCACACACAGTAAAAATGATATAAAGAAGAACAATAATGATCATAATTATAATTGATTATCATTAATAATATAAATAATAACATGCAAACAGCTGAAATGTACTTTTTTGTTTCTCTTCTGTGTTTCTTGTTTGGAAAAGTGGGTCAGTTGGAGGTGTGGTTTGGATTGGGACGCCTCCTTTCAAACTTCAAATACTTTCAGTTTTAAATTGTGATGATAATATTTTTCATCATTTTTTTGATCAGACATTAAGTGAATATATGGCTTCGTTTTATACTTGATCAACCAATCATGTCTACGTCGAGAGCAGATTTGAACCACCGAACAAACGTTTTATCAGCTGTCCTCCTAGATTTTGTCTTCTTCACTCTGCTCAAGTTATTTTGAAGTTGCAACACGGCACAGACCAGACAAGTTTTTCTTCTGATCAGTTTTCAGATAAGGCACTGCTCAAAATACACACCTTCATTCCACTCATTAAAGATAAAAGTGAATTTGAGGTTACAGACCAGTCATCAGACTAGATGAGGTCATCCAGCCCCTCGAAATGTTAAATTGCCTCAAAACAGCAGATAATTATATAGAACATTTGTATTTTGTTTGCGTTGTTTTGTGCTGTGATCATTTTCATTTGTGCAAGTATATTTGTAAATGTCAAGTCTTTAGTTTCGGAATGCAGGTCCAACTTGAAAAAAAAAAAAAAGAAGAGGGAAACAGACACAAGGCTCAACTCAGCTTGAAGTTTTTATTGAAATAATTTGATTCTTTTAGTAGTAGTAGTAGTAGTAGTATTTATAGTTGTAGTAGCTGCAGCAGTAGCAGCAGGTCGAAAAACTTTAAAGTAAATAAATATGTGTAATGAAATTAAATTTACATTTTACATTTCATTAGTTATATAATCTATTTTTATTTTAATTAATACACTTCAATTATAATATATATATATATATATATATATATATATATATATATTTATTGTATTTTATAATATTTAGTATACATTTTATACATGAACTTAAATAGCTATAATTTTAACCAAACATTTTACCAATCCATTTCTAATCCTATAATAACTTTTTATACAGTTTTAAATGAGTACATGAAATGTAATATTTATATTAATATATATGTAATATTATTTGAAGACAAATTTTGATAAATAAATACATTGTTTTTTAATTGCTAAATAACATATATATATATATTTTTAACTCGAGCTACTTTAATTTAGAATTTACATCATTTACTTTAAATAAGATTTGCTACTTTATAAATAAACAATTTAGTTATTCACCTTAGCTCTATTTTGGCATTTTCAAACTTAAATTGAATTTACTTACTATTTACTTTAACTAAACTTAAAACTAATTTTAAAGGTACATTTCCTCACCAGTGTCTCTGTGTTTCCTTCACGTTCCTTCGTTTGGTTTTGTTTGTGTTTGCACTTGGGCCTAATGAAATGATTCCAGAGACACACCTGGTTACCTGGTTACCTGATTGTTTTTTTTTTTTTGCTGCCATCTACTGGCCAGACTAAAAATAACCTCATCAACTCATAAAAAAAAGGGGAGGGGAGGAGAGGGGAGGAGCGGTGAAGAGGAAGAGGAGGGAGCAGAGGTGAGAGGAGACAGGGCTCAGGAGTGGAGGTGAAGACTTGGTGCAGGGGCTGGGCTTTTTGACATGACACTAAATGATTAATTATTATTTTTGTTGAGATTATATGACTTCATTTCATAATAATACAGACTTTTCCACAGCCTCAGACCGTTTCTCTTCACTAGTTTTGTTAAAGCCGCTGCCGTCAGCTGAGCGGAAATGACGTCAATAATTTCTACAAAAATTATAATTCATCATTTTAGAAATATACTAACAGAAATGAAAATGATCACAGCACAAACCTATGGAAGCCCATTTCTGCCAGTAAATAAAAAATAAAAGCCTCACAAAAAGTCATAATTAAGAGTTAATTATGACTCTATGAGTTTAAAACTTAAAATTATGACTTTTAAACTCCTAATTATGACTTTTAAACGCGAGTTTAAAACTCATAATTATGAGTTTTAAAACTCATAATTTAGGTTTGTGTTTTGTGGGGGCTTAGTTTTCTCCAACATGATCATTTTAGAGAAGTTTCTAATTGTACTTCTGCTTTTATTTTGCTAAATGAAGTGAGTAATATTTGACTGTAAGAAGCAGTGAGTTTTGATGTTTTATCGTTGAAAAATGGCTGTTACATTTCTGAACCCTACATGCATTAGTTACATGAGTCTCCTTTTAACCCTTGGATGCATGAACTCCCAATACCTACACTCTTCACGAGTCAAAAATGACTCCAAATACAATCAATGCCTTTTTGCAATAAACTAATTTTGGTTTAAGATTTGTATTATATTTTGATCAACAAAAGAGTGATTTAATTTTGGACATGTTCATTCATCACTTTTTATTTACATTTTATCACAAAACAATCAATCAGGTATCAAAAAAACATCAAAATCCATTGTTTATCTGTCTAATAATAATAATAATAATAATAATAATAATAATAATAATAATAATGCATCACATTTATATGGCGCTTTTGACACTCAAAGACACTTTACAGTTCATTATTCATTCACTCCACACTCAGTGGTGGTAAAGTACTACTGTAGCCACAGCTGCCCTGGGGCAGAATGTGGCTGCCAGTCTGCACCATTGGTCCCTTTGACCACCACAAACACACACACCACTTTCATACTAGGCAATGTGTCTTGCCTAAAGACACAATGACAGTTTTGACGACTCCTGCCCCCTGTGGCACCTGATTTTCCAAGTGGTCTCCCATTCAAGTACAGTAGAAATGATCAGAAATACTTTCACAACCTTCATCATGACTTTGAACTGAAATGAAATCTTGACACAGGATTTCCAAGTATGTTTATAGGGGTGTGTTCTGTAGAAATGAACCTGGGGCACTTCCTGTGAAAGAATCTGTTTGTGGAGACATGAACACTCTAGAAATCCAGATCAACTAGACTAAAGACAAATGAGAGGAAATGGACGATATGTTTGAAAATATCATAAAACACAAAGCAGGACAATAGACAAACAAAACGATGAAGAGTGTAGGTCCTGAACCTTTTCAAACCAGGAGTGAGGAAGATGTTTTAGTCCTGCACACTTCGTCCTTTCTGCCACTGTGATACTGCACGTTGATACGAGTGTATATACAGATGGACATAGTAAACCTGCAAGTCATCGTGTTCCAAAAGGGAGGTGAGCATGGACATACTGCAGCTCCATCGACTCCAATTCACTCTCTGTTGAAAACCCGTCGCCTCTCTCTCTCTCTAACTGTTGTCAGGTTTGCCATTCTAACCTTCTGATGTTTGTATTAACCTGCACTACATGATCCTGGTGTTTTATTTAGCTTTTCTTGTCCTTAAAGAGTCCATATTATGCTGTTGCCACAAACAGACCTGGAGTTGTGTTTTGTTTCATTCACATGTTTATGCAGGTTTAGACTGTTCTCCTCTGTGATGTCATCCCCGACTGGAGGGTCTTTCTCTTTCTTCTCCGTCTTCTCCTTAGAGTGTGCACAGTGCTCCCCCGCCAGGCTCCAGGGGCGGTTCTAGGGGAGGGGCCACATGGGTCCTGGCCCCACCTCTAATCTGATTGGCCCCTGAAGTGCCCCTGTTACCATACCAGACCAACTTTAGTTATAAAGCACTTTAAAAAACTTTACAGCTGGTCAAAGTGCTGCACACAAACACAGAATAAACAAGGACAACACAAAACACAAACACAAACACAACACACAATACAACTGCTAAAAACATAGAAAACAATAAGATACTCAACAACAACAAATGTACAGGTCACTTGTTAAAAGCCAGTGAAAAAAGGTGTTTTTAGGAGTGATTTAAAAACAGGTACAGACTCGGCCTGTTGAATCTCTAATGGAGACTGGTTCCAGAACCGAGGAGCAGCAACAGGAAACACACAGGCCTCATGAAGCTCAAGTTTAGTCTTTGGGACAGTGAGCTGGAGCTGGTCTGCTGACCTGAGAGTGCGAGACGAGGCATAAGGGAGGATCAGGTCTGTGAGGTAGGAGGACGCTGGGCCGTGCAAACACTTAAAAGTAAATCAAAGAATTCTAAAATTGACTCTAAAGCTACGTTCAACTGCAGCCTGAAGTGACTCAAATCCAATTTTTTGGCCCCTATGTGACCTGTATCTGATCTTTTAATGACAGATCAGATTTTTTTCAAATGTGACCCAGGACACTTGGATATGTGCTCCTAAAACTGAAACATATCTGATCTTTTGACATGTGACTTCAGTCTGAACAGTCAAAGTGCATTCATCCACCTACACGTTATCAACAAGTGACAGATGTACACAAACTTTCTTCTCCTCATATGAAAATTGTTAATGAAGTGAAGCACATCACCACTCACCACTCTTGGCTCCATCTCCACATCCACACGTTCCTTTCAACGAACTGTCCCACAAAACACCACGACCAAAAACCTCGTCCTTCTCCTTCTCAATCTCCTCCTTAAAACAAGTAAGTTGTTCATGTTCTGGCTCTGGTACGAGAGGAACTTTAACATCTCCAGGTGCTCAATGCTGCGTCCATGTTTGGACAACTTCTGTAAACACAGAGCACGCTCACTGTGGTTGACGTCATCGTGTCTCCAGTGCACATGTGGGACACTTTCGGGCCGTTTAATGTTCACACTGGAGATACAAGTCACATTTAATTGAAAATGTGAACGACCTCGCAAAAACATCGGATTTCACAAAAACAATCTGAATTGAGCGTTAGAGGGATAGTTTGGGTTTTTTGACATAATTCTCTATGTCATCCCCGTCAGCAGTGTCGTGCATCCACACTGACTTACCCCCGACAGCGTCCGGTGAGCCGAGATCCTGGCCGGTTTTGGTGCTGACGAAAGTAGTCTGACAAGTTGACTGGGGACTGTATAATAAAGCACTTTTCTTCTCAAAACAATCTGTGTTCAAAAGAGTGATACATTTGCATCACAAAACATTCGTCCTCAAAAAAGTCAGACCTCATAATCGCTTGACACTATTTTCTCTCCTTTTGTATCACTGCACACTGCTGCCAGGTGACAGCCGGTTACTTTCTTCAGTTGTTTGGCAGTGTTTATGTGCTCAGACCGCCGCAATGTGAGAGAGCTAACGTGAGAGCTAGAGCCATAAATATATAAGCTTGTATAATCTATTTAAGAATTTATCTAGCAAATGGTGTGAACTTGTGATTACACATTTCACTGTTTTTTCTGTCACGGACATTGCTCTGAGGCGACATTGGCTTCTTGCCTTAGGCTTCAGTGTAGAAACCAAAGAAAAAAAAGCTTCATGTGTGCAGTGCGCAATTCAACGGCGAAGATATGTTCCTTCATGCCCAGGACAAAGGAAGTAATCTGTTTAGAAGAGCACTGCTGTACCTGCACCCAGGTAAGAACAAAGAGAATGTTTACAAGAGCTGTGTTTACAAGAGAACAGAGTCAAGAATCAGCTGTAACTCTGTGTGCAGTAAATCACTCAGTGTCATATCACCAGTGAAGCTTCTACAAAACATAACTTTATAAGTCGACTGTTATTACTATTGTAAATGTCTCGTACACTATTGGCAGCAGCTACGTGGACGTGTGGATGATTCATGTTTCTATTAGTCGTCCATGCTTCAGTCACAGTGTCGAGGCTCTATGTTCACTGTATACGAGTTTATAAATGACGGTGATGGTGATTGTCGCTCACTCGGTCTCTCACGGCTCCAGCTTCGACTTGTACCACTTCTCTGTCTCTCTTCTCTCTCTGCCCGTTCTAACTCCATCTGGTGAATTTCAGCATCAGTATATTCGGGTTCATAAAGATCTCCCCTTGACTTTGTGCTAAAGGCAAAGTCTTTATTGTCGATGTCATAATCAGACATGTTCTTGTCGCCAACTTTCCGAGCAGTAAACAAAGTGAACCAGCAGTGATACGAACGGAGAGAAAATAGTGCCAAGCGATTATGAGGTCTGACTTTTTTGAGGACAATGGTTTTGTGATGCAAACATATCACTCTTTTGATCACATATTGTTTTGAGAAGAAAAACGCTTTATTTTCATGTCCCCAGCCAACTTGTCAGACTACTTTCATCAACACCGAAAACGGGCAGTATCTCGGCTCACCGGACGCTGTCGGGGGTAAGTCAGTGTGGACGCATGACACTGCTGACGGGGATGACATACAGATTTATGTAAAAAAAACTTGAACTATCCCTTTAAGCCCTGCTGTCTGAACGTAGCCTAAAAGACGGAGAGAGGCTAAAATAGGTGAGATGCTCTCGTGTTTATGGGTTCTAGTTAAAAGTCGAGCCGCTGAGTTTTGGACCCGACTTTTAACTGTTCTGTCAATCAACTGACGAGAAGAACCGAAGAATTCAATGATCACTGATGTAATTCCCCCCCCAAACTCTTGGCGGCAGTCGACCTATTGTCAATACAACTTAATGGGAGAAGAAACAGACTTGTAGAGGGTGTTTTTTTTTACTGTCTCTGCTTGTATTTGCGCTGTACTGAATGAATCATTTGTGTGTTGGTTGTTCCCTGTACTTGGCCCCTGAATGTAACATGTGGCCCCTTAATGGCCCCTGTTTCAGAAAAATCCTAGAACCGCCACTTCTCTGGTAGATCATTTCCCTGCAGGACTTCTTATGTGTCCTGTGGTCCTGTAACCCCTCAAACTGTTTCCCACTGGTGCTTTTCAGGGTGCACACTCACCACACACACCACATGCTCCTTACCTTCTGCTGTCTCCACGCTGCTCTCTGGTTCAGGGGCCAAACCGGAGCACTTCCTGATCGTGCCATAAATACTTCTTGGCATTTGTGTGTTTATTCTGTTTTTTAAGTTCATCATTAATAAATGATAGACACATGGGAGGTTATTACAGTATTTTTATTATGGTGGTTTACAGTTTGCTTTATGTTCATGAGTACAGTGTTAAACCTGAAAAACCCAGAGTGAAGTGAACTGATTAGATCAGGGGGAGGGGCTAAGGGGTAAGGGGGAGCTCGTTCTGTTGTCTGTCCTTGACCTTTTTTTTTGGACTTCTTCTTCTCACTTCTGTCTGAACCTGTGACAGAAAACACTCTGTTCCACCCTGTGATGTCATGTGGAATACAGGAAGTGCTCCATTGTGTTTTTAAACTCCAGACACCTTGACTAGAATCATTTGGATACATTCAGCCCTGGAACTGTCAATCTCTACTGAACTAAAGGTAAAAGGAGCTGATAACATGAAAACTACCACTTCATGACATCACAAGGTGAAACAGAGCATTTTGAGCTTTGGGGATGCAGACAGGCTGGACACTCAAACATGTGTGAATGAAACAATCCAAAAAGTCCACATCTGTTTATCAGGAGGTAACATTTTAACATGGTTTAAGATCACAAGAGTTAATTTAGTGTAACACAGGACTTTTAAATCAAGATATGAACATTAATAACAGACCAATCAGGTGTGTCATCACCATAGAATATTGAAGAATATTGATGTAACACTTATTACAAGAAGTAGATAAGAACAAATGAGACAAAACCACAGGAGATTAGTGAAGTGTGCACCATAACTGTTTATATGAAACATATGACATCATTGATTTGGTATCAGATTATAAACTTATATAGAATCAAGTTGGTGCATTATTTAGATGCTCAGACTCTTTCTTTCTTGGATCTCCCAACACCGGTGACGACTGGTCCAGTGCTGATGTGAGGCAGCCCCACAAACACATCCACCTCCAGATATTTGTCCCCCCCAATGAAGACCTAAAGAAACAGGAGATTGAAGGAGGATCAGAGAGTGTCACCATTATTCAACCCCAAAGACGTGACTCTTGTCATTTGAGAGGACTTTAAATCAGGAGATTAACATGACAAGTTTGTGGAGCCAAATAACAAACAAATAATGACAAAGTTCAACATTTCTGGATCATAATTTGGAATATTTATTCTAATGTCAGTGAATCTCCCATAGAGTCATATAGAGCTGTTAAGAGGATGATGTCACTTCCAAGTCCAACAAGAAACTTCACAGCTGATTTCTAGCTTTGTTTTTGTTCCTTATTCATGAAACAAGAGAAAATGTTTTCACATTTTTAAACGGTCAAAGTGCCTAAAAGTTTGCTTTGTAAGATTTAGTGTAGCCCCTCTCTAAGCTCTTGCTCTGATTGGTCAGAACTGGTCACACGGTGCATGTTTCTGACATCACACAGGTGGGAGGAGCTAGTCTGTGTTGAGGAAATAATGAAGAAGAAAATATATATATTTTGGGGGATTTGGCTCATCTTCCAATTCTTATTAAACTTTCATGTTATAACCGTAGATCTGTGCTTATAAACTTGTTGGCTTTAAACAACTGAAATATGTTTTTAACGTGACACGTGCTGTCGCTTAAAAAAGAGAGGAAACTTGTAAACATCATTGTTTTCAATCAACTGATGAACCAGGAAGTGACATGACACTGAACAACTCTATAGGAGCTTAAAGTCTAATCATGACTTTGTTTGCTGGGGTAGTACCTGTGCTAATTACACATGAGGGTGATAGTTCTAATCTTTAGGATTCTTATTGTCAAAACATCATCTGAATATTGTCTTTGGGTTAATAAAAAATAAAACAATTGTAGAAACTGACCTCGATGAAGTAGTTCATTCCAGCTACAAGTTGTTTCTTGTAGGATAAGGCTCTGAAAATCTTATAATTCTCTCCTGTGAGCTTCTCCACTTCACTCTTCACCTGAACAACAGCACAAGATTCACTCATAATACAGAAGGTCATTTTTTATGACACTTACTTGTCTCCATGGATAAGTTAGTTTACCTGAAATGTTCCACAGTATTGCATTAAACATCTATATGACACAATTTTCTGTTATAATAATATTTCCTCATGAAAACATCCTCAGAGTTGTGTTTTTCTTTTTTTTTTTTACACATGTTTAACACAAATCATATTTGTGTGAATTTTTCTCAAACAGAAAACTCTGTTCCACCTTGTGATGCCTCTGATAATACAGGAAGTGCTCCACTGTGTTTTCCACAACTTCACTAGAATCATTTGGATGATTTCAGTCGTGGAATTGTCGATCTCTACTGAACTAAAAGTAAAAGGAGCTGTTCACTTGAAAACTACTACTTCATGACATCACAAGGTGGAACAGAGCATTTTGAGCTTTGGAGATGTAGACGATGAGGTAACATTATAACATGTGTAAAAACTCAAGAATCCATTTTCTGTAATACAGGACCTTTTTATAGGCCCCTCTCCACAGATCTGACCTGGTGCTTTTCTGTTTAGAAGAGTTCAATTCTTGCCTCACTACAGACACATTGTATAAGCAGCTCTTGAGGTCAAAATAATTCCACTGTGTACTGTCTGCATCCCATTATAAAGTGTTTTATTGTCAGAGAATCAGGAAGTGTGCTGTTATATTGCCAGTCCTTCAGGCATTATTTATAATCACTTATAAAGTCATCATGGTGAATCATTAGGATGTTCAGAATGCATCAGGTCAGTGAGGAGTAACTTTGGACCAGTTGGTAAAGTGTTTGTCCACTGTTCTGAACATTGGGAGTTTGAATCCTGCTCTCAGGAAGCTGTCGTTGTGTCCTTGGGCAAGACACTTAACCTACCTTGCCCACAGTGTCTATGTACACTGGTGTATGAATGTGTGTGAGTGGTTCCTTGTTGTGTAAAGCATCTTTGAGAGCTTTGAAGGAGGAAAAGTGATGTATTATAAAAAAATATAGTTCTGTTTTGGATTTGAAGACAATCAGGTACAGCGCCCTTTACTGTGAATGTTCCACAGTATGACATTACATGTATTTTTCTCCATGGAGGTGAGCGGGTCACGCCCAAGACCAAAGGTGTTTCTCAAAGCTTCGTGCCCAGTTTTGGTCGTGGGTTCTTTCTAATCCAAGCACACGACTCATGAAACACACTTCAGAGTGAACCAACAGCAACAGCAAAAAAATTAAAATAAAAAAATCTCCTTGTGTGGACAACAAAAAATATATATAAATGCAACTAAATATATTCATAATTTGAATATAATGTGAAGTAAATAAACGTACACAATATGATGTATTCTTAGTAAAATACTAACCAAACAGAGGACATGACATTAGAACACAACTTGGATGAGCTGGATGCCCTGCCACACCCAGAATAGACCAAGGCAAGGCTTTGAGAAACACAAGTTACAAGCCACATCTGTGGAGAGGTGATCCCACTCAAGATAAGAATACATGCTTTTCAAGGCTTTTTTTTAAGCAATAAAAAACAAAACCATAAAAAAAACTAAAAAACAAAACATAAACAAGCATTGCTCACCAGAAAAGTTCCAGAGTGTAGCTTTAAGTGTGTGATACTTACAGAGTCACAGATGGTCTGCACCTCTGCGTCTGCAGGTTGGGGATCCTTCGATGCCTCCACACTTTTTGGTCAGACTCCATGTCTCTGATTTGTTCGCAGTATATCAGGACTGTAGCTGCGTTCTGTCTGCACGCTGTTTTAAGGTGGTGGTGATCGATCAGCGGGGGCGTATCGACAGTGCACACCTTTTATCTGTAAGTCAGGTATCACATTTCAAGACTATTATAAAATGTCAAACTCTCAAATAATGTCGTATTGGTAAGGTGAGTTATTCAAAGGTGTGGTTTGGAATTGGACACCTCATAACTTTTCAAACTGTCACACTTGTTTTGTTTTGAGCATTAGCTATTTGTTTATTGATAATGAACTTGTCACATGTCACCACTTAAGGAGTGGCTTTCTACATTCCACATCTTCCATCCACTGGTAAAATAATCTAATCAACAGGGAGTAGGGCCTATTGCATTCACTGTGATGAGCGCATGGGCGAGAGGACGTGGTGCAGCTTTGAACAGCAGTATCCCAGTAACTCACGCCACGAGATTCACCAATGAATGAATGGGGAAGGTTGAGAGCTTTAAAAAACATATCATATGCTGTTTCCCATGTGAACAGATATATTGTTTTTGCTCAAATTATTAGCAAAATTAGAAAGGCAAGATGGTGCCAGCGTGTACTGGCAGTCATCTACCTGCTCTGTTAAATTTGTTCTTTGTTGTGGCATTAGTCTGTATTATGTGCCAAGATATCTCTGGACTGCTGGTCTACGATCGCCAGCCACTTATTGATCTGAAGCGTCTCATGAACTGTTTCTTAATCACAATTTTGAGGATCAAGCATCCTATTTCCCTCCTCACTTGGCGTCAGTCCTGGTCTACCTGCTGCTCTCACCTGTCTCCGTGGCCCAGAGAGCGCTGAAAACGCAGCAGCATCTTAGTGAGAGTGAAGGCTTACTGGAGAGCCAATTCTGGAATTATTTCTCTCCTTACCACTCCTGGAAACCCAGCACTTCAAAGATCACACGGACTAGGGTGGATCCAGCCTGTGACTCCTGCGTGCCTAGACACTGGCCTGCATCACCTGCCACTAGTAGTGCCTCTCCACAAGCATCTAGCCAAACGCCGCGGTGTGGAATTGAGCTGCCTTTGGTTGCTGCGAAGTAGTTCTACACGGAGTCCTGAGGATGTGACTCTCCTCTTGGGCCTTTTGAATGCGAGATTGCTAGTTAATAAAACATTTCTCCTGAATGATCTCTTCACTTTGCAGAATCTGGATTTTATGTTGTACCATCCAACTGTTTCTATCTGAACTCTCCTTGGATTTCTGGCAGAGGTGGGGGGCTAGCAACAGCGCGCAAATCCAGCTACGTCTGTCGGCAGATTCCAGTTGATCCGTTTTTGAGCTTTGAGCTTTAGATTTGCATATAAAGCCTTGACACCCTGGTTCTGTGCCTTTTGGTGTATCGCCCTCCAAAGTTCAATAAAGATTTGATTCAGGACTTCACAGATCTCTTGACTGGCCTATTACTGCGCTATGACCAGTTTTTGATTGTTGGGGATTTTAATATTCACGTTTGTTGTGAATCCAGACCTCTGGAGAAAAACTTTTTAAATATGATTGATTCATTTATCTTAACCCAGTCTGTGTCGGGCTCAACACACGTAAAAGGACACACACTGAACTTGGTATTGTCATTTGGTCTTAATGTAAATCTAATGGAAATTTGTAAAAGGCATTTTTTGAACCACTTTGCCGTGTTCTTCTCTATAACACTGCCCCAAAGTGTGGTTACTCTGTGCACCCCAGTGCGCCGAGTGCACACAATGAACTCTATGACTGCTTCTTTGTTTTCTGACCTGTTCAATGCATCGGGAATTATGAACCGAGGTGACTCGCAAAACACCATGCCGGATGATACTTATACTGTCCAAGTGGGACATTAAAAGTTGGTAAAAGCTTTTTCAAAGGTTGCCATCTCGGGTTAGGGTTGGGGCTAGAGTTAGGAATAGAGTTGGGGCTAGGACTATATTAGGATTTAGGGTTAGGGCTACAGTAAGGGCTAGAGTTAGGAATTCAGGTAGGATTAGGGGTTAGTGTTAGGGGTTATGGTTAATTCAGGAGTTAGTGCTAGGGGCATGGTGCGTTTGTGGGGCACGGTGTGCGTGCAGGGCACAGCGTGGCCTGGGTGTGGCATAGGCGTAAGCGAGGGTTGATCATTGTTGCCTGTGGTTATATTTGTTGTTATAATTGCTGTAGTTGTGGTTGAGGCAGCTGTAATTCTCATTTTTGTGAAGATCCAGAAGTGACGGCTTTTGAAATTACAAGGCTTCTTTTCTTCTGTGCTCTGAGAGGGACAGGGGGCGGGATGAATGTAGAGTTCAGAAGAGCCAGTATCTAAACTTTCATTTATGTTAACTGAGATTAAGGAAACAGAAAGGAAGTATCACTAAACAATACTTTATCTGGTACTCTGACATTGTAGATTTAAGCCTTTATGGAGCCTTTATGGGGTCCAAATTTTTTGCACAAATACAATGATTATTATACATCTGGCAACACTGCCCCAGTCGCATTCAGTGAGAGTCCTTGAACCTATATGAAAGGGACATTAGTCAGTTTTTGTCCATAGATAGCACTCACAGTTCAGGGCAAAAAGGTTTTCAGCTCCTGTGTGGAACCTGTCTGCTTCTGTCTCTCAGCATGGGGTTTATACAAAGATATCAATCACACGTCACCAGAAGGTACTGATGTGACCAAGTCTAATTCAAAACCTGCAGATGGGTCATTTTACCAACTTCCACTAACCTGGAAAAATCTTTAATTTCATTTTAGGAAAGTTTGTAGTTTTTCATTTGACTTTTTCAAGTGAATTGTGTTGGACAATTGTGTGAATAAATAAAATCATGCTTTTGTGTCTGGGAATTGCTGTACACACTGTTTTGTTTTTTGTTTTTTTACGGTGTAGTACATGTTGAGCTGTTGGCTCACATTTCACTAACTGTATAAAACAATGAAATCTGCTTCCTCCTCCTCACAAAAGCTATTTACTTTTGGTTATAAACTGGCTGTTCTGGCTTCTAGATGAACCTGCATGTTGTTTTTCCTCCTTCAAGGTGAGTCATACCCTAATGCATAACTATTTTAATCTTTTTTGTATTCTTCCTTGTTCCTTGATTGTATCAAACCAGCAAAAAACTTATTATGATTGTGAAGTCAGTTCTTGTATTGATTTTAACATTCCTTCTTATATGACCCTGTAGAAAAAGACAGTAAAAGCAAACAAACCTTCCAAGTAAAGCTGGACTTACACTGGACCCTGTGACTCACCCTTATCAAACATGTCTGACCTCCCTATAACTGCACAAGCAGCTGTCTTGTGTTCATGGTGAGCTGGTGACTGCAGCTCATGACCCCTTGGATACGACACTGACGCACAGAAGAGCTGAAATTGAAATTGAATTTTTTTTCCCCCAAACCTGCACATACAATTGTCATGACAATATAACAGTACAGACACAAATACAAACATGTTTGAAAAGGGGATGGATGAAGCAAAACTTTCCAATTTCCAATCTCCTCCCACACTTCACAAAAAACAACACTTCAACTATTCAAATTGTTGACCCCTCAACTGCCACAGTATTGTAATACAGGTGCTCCACGGTGTTTTTAAAAGTTGTGAGGTTAGTTTTTGTATTGATTTTAATACTCCTTGTTCAGGCCGAATTTGACACAAATTTTAGCCCCACAACAATTTTATAACTGGGCTGAATTTCAGCTCCTCTTTGCGTGAGTGTCGTACAGTATCCAATGGGTCACAAGCTGCAGTCACCTGCTCACGATGAACACACGACAGCTGATGGTACAGTTATAGGGAGGTCAGACTTGTTTGTTATTGTGGTGAGTCACAGGGTCCAGGGTCCCAAAGCCACTGAGAGCAGCGTGTGGAGGCTCTCAGGAAGGGACAATAACGTGCCAGGGTGGTCGTGTGGGAGAGGCATTTGTGGCGTTCGACGTCGCTTGCGGCTTTAGGCCCGATCATCAAGGGTGGCATAGGACCAGTGTTGTGCAAGTTCACAATTTTAATTTCGAACTAGTTCAAAGTTCAGTTCATTTTATATTTAGATGAGCTCTGTAAATGAAAGGCTGCTTTTATTTTTCAAACTGACTTCTAGTTTACAACAACTTTACAAGATCCACTGTTGGACAAGTGGCTTTAAAACTGTAACGTGTTATTTATGACTTGTTACTGTCATTTCAAAGTCATTTGTTAATTTACTCTCACCAAAAAGAACTGTTAAGATGCTGAACTTTTGCACCATATATATGGACTAAACCAGGACTGAACCAGGACTAAACCAGGTCTAAACCAGGTCTAAACCAGGACTAAACCAGGTCTAAACCAGGTCTAAACCAGGACTAAACCAGAACTGAACCAGGTCTAAACCAGGACTGAACCAGAACTGAACCAGGTCCAAACCAGGACTAAACCAGGTCTAAACCAAGACTAAACCAGGTGTATACCAGAACTGAACCAGGACTAAACCAGAACTGAATCAGGACTAAACCAGAACTGAACCAGGACTAAACCAGAACTGAACCAGGACTAAACCAGGAATAAACCAAGACTAAACCAGGACTGAACCAGAATTGAACCAGGACTAAACCAGGACTAAACCAGAACTGAACCAGACTAAACCAGGACTAAACCAGAACTGAACCAGGACTAAAACCAGGACTAAAACCAGGACTAAACCAGGACTAAACCAGGACTAAACCAGGACTAAACCAGGACTAAACCAGGTCTAAACCAGGTCTAAACCAGGACTAAACCAGAACTGAACCAGGACTAAACCAGGACTGAACCAGGACTAAACCAGGACTAAACCAGGTCTAAACCAGGTCTAAACCAGAACTAAACCAGGACTAAACCAGGTCTAAACCAGGACTAAACCAGAACTGAACCAGGACTAAACCAGGACTGAACCAGGACTAAACCAGGACTAAACCAGGTCTAAACCAGGTCTAAACCAGGACTGAACCAGGTCTAAACCAAGACTAAACCAGGTGTATACCAGAACTGAACCAGGACTAAACCAGAACTGAACCAGGACTAAACCAGAACTGAACCAGAACTGAACCAGGACTAAACCAGTAATAAACCAAGACTAAACCAAAAACAACCAGACTAAACCAGGACTAAACCAGACTAAACCAGACTAAACCAGAACCAGAACCAGGACTAAACCAGAACTGAACCAGGACTAAACCAGGACTAAACCAGAAAACTGAACCAGGACTAAACCAGGACTGAACCAGGACTAAACCAGGACCAAACCAGGACTAATCCTGGACTAGAACTTGGAATCTAGGACCGCCCCTGAGAGAACCCCGAGTGCGATCGGGCGTCAGCTGCGTTTATCTCGGTGGAGCGCGGACTTCTGCGTCGGTCCTTTCGCTCAGGATCACGGTCTACGCGGGCGAACCTCCGGCGTTTCACCGCTGCTGATATATCGCGGTGATTTTAGCAAATTTGTATGAAGAAAAACGAAAAAGCCCACCATTTCAATCCAGGTTAAAAAAGCACTGTGACGCACGGTACTGACATATGTACCGAGTAAAATAATACGCGCGCGGAGCAGCACGTCCTGTGCGTGTAGATTTCAGAAAATAGGATCCATCCTATTTTTTGATGCTCTACACGAGCGTAGGCGCGTGTCCCCGTCAAAATACACAGAGAGCATGTATTTATTGTTGTATTTGTGCATTTACCATCAGCACATTGTGCTCCCTGGGCAGTTGTGTATCATGTGAAAGAGCCCAGATCCACATACACTGTTAATTAGTGCTTTGAAATTTTACTTTTGAAATCCTTGCGTTTGCCGTGGTCAGCCTGTAACAGAAGGTAAATACAAGCAGCTAAACGCGCCCAGTCAAGTTTGATTGACTTTCCCATTGAGAGACACAAGAGCCCGTACGTTCCGCTAAAGCTGCCGGTGGAGTCGCCTTCACCTTGACACGCGGCTGTGGTTTCGCGAGGTGAAGTGCGAGCAGATCGTCACTCGTCAGGTGAAAACAAATTCCGACGTTTAACTGAACCCAACAGTGACGTACGTCGTTCATCTCACATAATTTGAACAAATTCACGTTCAAGTTCTTGATTTACAAAAGTGTTGTGTTCAGTTCAAAGTTCACTGAAAAATGAACATGTTCTTTTGAACTCGTTCATGCACAACACTGCATAAGACCTATTGTAATTGTTCAGCAATGTGAAGCAGTGCCGCGCAGGCAAACAGAACGTGAAGTGCTCTCCCCTTTCCAAACAGTGGCACTCATTTCATCGATTGGTGCCCGCTGACATGGCACGATGGCATCGCCCATGGACTCGATCGCAGTCTAATTGTAATTGTTCATCCCAAAAACAGTCCCCTTATCTGCCCAATCCCCTTATCAAACACTCAGTTCTACACAATAGTGACACTCATGGCATCCAGTAGTACAGACTGGCATTGCCCATAATTGTAATGGTTAACTCTCGTAAACTCCAAAAATGTGCATTGGGTATGTGAGTAATCAAAGAGGTCAACAATGGAGCCCACGGGTGCGTTCCTGGACGTGAGCACTTTCCAGTGACATGTATATGTGCCACCATAGGTGTGTGCTGTCTTGCCTAAAAGATACAATGACACAGTAAGACAGTAAATGACGCTTCCATCTGATGATTAAAAAAAAAAAAAAAAACATTTTTAAAAATGTCAGAGTAACAGCTCTGTGCTCTCCCTTCTTCATGATTAAATTAGTGGATCAAAGGAGCGTCTCAGATCATGTGAAACCTGGACCTGGTTCAGTTCTGGTTCAGACCCTGTTTAGACCTGGTTCAGTCCTGGTTCAGACCTTGTTTAGACCTGTTTTAGTCCTGGTTGACTTCTGTGTGAGTTTGTAGTTTTTTGTGATGAAAACAGAATGGAGAGACTCACCTGGATGTGCAGAGTGGTGGAGTGGGTTTGACTTTGATATGAGTCTCCCTCCTGCTTCAGCCTCTTCAGGAGCAGAGTCGTGTCGTGTCCTGAAACATGATTAAACATTTCTGTAAATCATCTGCTCAAAGGCTCAGATCAGATCATGTAACACTGAAAAACATAGAGCAAAGTCCATTTATTCAGGCTAGATTAACTTAGATTACCTCAGTCATCATGGAAAAAAAAAAAAAAGTTGTGAACTTAATCAATTTAGTTTAGAAAGTTTTCTGGGCGACTCAGTTAAAGATAGATGAATACTTTATTGATCCCAAAGGAAATACAATTTTTGGTTGCAATAATGAAATGTTATTATTATTAAGCCCAAGCGCCAGAAGCTGGCAAAGGGCCTTTTAAGTATCACAAAGTGATGCTTCTATGTTAAAAATATTATTATTATTAATAGGCCCGAGCGCTATGGGTGGCGTAGGGCCTATTGTGATTGTTCAGCAGTGCAAAGCATTAATTGTAATTGTTCACCCCAAAACATAGGGCGTACTTGACATCGTGCAACAAAGTTGTTGATCATTGTTGATCATTGTGTTTTAGGTTTTGCAAAATGTAAAATGAAAGTTAGGACTTGGATATTTTTCGTGTCGAACAGGAACTGGAGTGTACAGAATTATTGGTACCCTTCTGGTAAGGAAATAACTTGAAACTGAGAAAAGCAATAATAAATACACATTTCCTGACAAATAACCAATGAAAATCAGACACTGTTTTTGAATTGTTGTTCAACACAGTTATTTAAAAAAAAAACAAACTAATGAAACTGGCCTGGACAAAAATGATGGTTCCCCTAGAAAAGACTGTAAGTAATTGGACAATGTGGACATGTTAAACTTCGGTGTGTCTCTAATCTGCATCACAGGTTCTTCAGACTTGTCCTTAGTCAGTCTGTCTGTTTAAAGTGGGACATGTGTCATTGTGCTGTTTGGAGACATGATGGACACAACACTGAACATGGACCAGAGAAAGAGAAGAAGAGTCCTTATTATGCTGTTTTCTGATCTATATTATAATGTTTCTTCATCACAAACAGACCTGGAGTTGTGTTTTGTTTCATTCACATGTTTAACACACAAATCCTGCAGATTTAGACTGTTCTCCTCTGTGACGGAGCACCCATAGTTGCCCCATCATCCCCCGACCAGAGCGTCTTTCTCCTTCTTCTCCGTCTCCTTATATTAGAGTGTGGAGAGCTCTTCCCCTGCCAGGCTCCAGGGGCGGGTCTAGAGGAGGAGCCGCAGGGGTCCTGGCCCCACCTCTAATCTGATTGGCCCCTGAAGTGCCCCTGTTACCATACCAGACCAACTTTAGTTATAAAGCACTTTAAAAAACTTTACAGCTGGTCAAAGTGCTGCACACAAACACAGAATAAACAAGGACGACACAACACAAACACAACACAAACAACTACTAAAAACATAGAAAACAATAAGATACTCAACAACAACAAATGTACATGTCACTTGTTAAAATACAGTGGAAAAAAAGATGTTTTTAGGAGTGATTTAAAAAACAGGTACAGACTCGGCCTGTTGAATCTCTAATGGAGACTGGTTCCAGAACCGAGGAGCAGCAACAGAAAACACACAGGCCCCACAAAGCTCAAGTTTAGCTGGAGCTGGTCTGCTGACCTGAGAGTGCGAGACGAGGCATAAGGGAGGATCAGGTCTGTGAGGTAGGAGGACGCTGGGCCGTGCAAACACTTAAAAGTAAATCAAAGAATTCTAAAATTGACTCTAAAGCTACGTTCAACTGCAGCCTGAAGTGACTCAAATCCGATTTTTTGTGATTTATATGTGACCTGTATCTGATCTTTTAATGACAGTCTGAACGACACAGATCCAGATTTTTTCAAATGTGACCCAGGACACTTGGATATGTGCTCCTGAAACTGATACATATCTGATCTTTTGACATGTGACTTCAGTCTGAACAGTCAAAGTGCATTCATCCACCTACACGTTATCAACAAGTGACAGATGTACACAAACCTTCTTCTCCTCATATGAAAATTGTTAATGAAGTGAAGCACATCACCACTCACCGCTCTTGGCTCCATCTCCACATCCACACGTTCCTTTCAACAAACTGTCCCACAAAACACCACACGACCAAAAAACCTCGTCCTTCTCCTTCTCAATCTCCTTCTTTAAAACAAGTAAGTTGTTCATGTTCTGGCTCCGGTACGAGAGGAACTTTAAAATCTCCAGGTGCTCAATGCTGCGTCCATGTTTGGACAACTTCTGTAAACACAGAGCACGCTCGCTGTGGTTGACGCCATCGTGTCTCCAGTGCACATGTGGGACACTTTCGGACCGTTTACTGTTCACACTGGAGTCACATACAAGTCACATTTAATTGGAAATGTGAACGACCTCACAAAAACATTGGATTTCACAA